TCCCAAGGACCTGGGATAGGCAGATGTTGTTGTTTGATGGTGTTAAAGGTATTGTTGCAAGATGTAAGTTGTTTAAAGTTGTTGTTGTTGTTGTTATCTGTTTTATTATATCTCTTTGTTTTATAAACCACTTTGAATCAGTACAGAAAACCAAGTCAATAGGTCTTCCTTTTTTTCCTACACTGGCTCTCCTGTTGAACCTTTAAGAGAATATTGGCACAGAGGAATTTAGCCAGTGAGGTCTTCTGCCAGCTGGATGAGTCACAGACAGATATATACAGTGTGCATAAAAGAGTAGTAAGTGTGGATCTGAAGGTAGGGAGAAGGATTTACCCCTTGTATAGTCAAGATATTCTAACAATACACAGAGAGTTGATATTTCCTCTGATGAAGATACAGTCTAAGCTATTTAACTGAGGACCTGAAGATCCCTATCTATTTCCTCCTTAATTGTGCTTTTTTATTTCACGCGTGTAAATGAATCCATGGACATTCCTTATCACGGCAGAGTGCTCACTTATTCACCAAAAAAGGAAAGGCATCAGCAAAAGGCAAAGGAGAAATCTTTTTGTACATGCCAATTTATACGTAGCAATGCAAGTTTGGAAATTATGTCTGTGTTTCTATTTATTGATTTATTTATTTTGCATATCGCATCTTAATGGGTAAGATTGTGGGGAGGTGATCTGTGTGATGGTTTGGTCTGAATTAAACTCCCTTCTTACCATTCTTTTTTTTTAATTTCACTATAAGTCATGGCACTGTGGCGATGTCAAGGGACACTAGCAGCAGTCCTAACACCAAATTGCTCCAGGCCAACTGAGTCAGGTGACTGTGGAATGAAGACAGCCGAGACTGGGACAAGAGTAGAGAGAGTTAAGATAGACTTCAACTAGAACAGAACATTACATACACACAGTCGGTTACATGAACATCATGTAAAAATAGGACAGACAGAAAGTAAAGGAGTCAAGTAGTTAGAATTTAGGGAACTAGTATATAGAAATATAAGTTGGAATAGAGGTAAATGAGGAAAACCAGTTAGAGTTTAGAATAGTAAAATAACCTTAAAAATAGGGGACTTTGGATAGAGAAATTGGTTATTTATTTATTTATATGGCCACCCATCTCGCTGCTGAGATTCTGGGTGGCTTACAGAGTTAAAACCCAAAAAAGCAGTACAAAGACAACCACAAAAAACCCACAAAAAATCATTAAAAACAATAGAACCATTAAATCCTAAAAAAATATAATCTGCGGGAGAGCACCATTATATACTGTATATACTAGCATATAAGCCCATCTGTGGATAAGATACCATGAAAAATGCACCTGCCGCCGATTTGCCAACCCGTATTTTTCATGGTATTTTGCTTAAAAATTTGAGAGTCTGGTTATCTGCAGATGGGCTTATCTGCAAGTATATATGGCATATATGGCGACTTTAAAGTATTAACATACATACTCATGGATAAGGCCATCCACCAATAAGCCGAACTCAATTTTTTGGGTGTATTTTGGCACCTAAAATTCTTGGTTTATACGCAAGTATATACGGTAAGGACTATGCAGTCTTTCATAATAAAAAACCAGAGTTTTGTATTTAAAAAAAAGTTTTTTTCAACTGAGATTGACACATGTGCATCCTTCTTGGAGTCTGTACCAACCCTGAATCTGTGACATCAGTATATTCAAAAGCACTTAACTATCTCTCTTACCTTTATGTTGTTAATCATTTTATTGTCTTCTGGTATCATAGGATTGATTGCAATAACAATATCTTCAAATCCACCATTATTGAGCTTGATCATGGTACCCATCACTGCAGGTAGAAGTACCACCACCACCAAAATTTCCCGACTGAGACCCATCTTTCCTTAGGCCAGTTCACCCAGGCTGACTGATAGAAAGAATGGTACGCAAGGATTACATATGCAACCATGGGAATATACATGGGAAACCCTTATATATTTCATGAGAAGGAAATTCAAGAATAAAAAAACAATTCTTCTATATCAGTTTTAGTCCTAAGAAGAAGATCCTGGCAAGCTACTTCTGAGATTGATGCCAGGAAAATTTTGTGGACTTGTTTCTGCACTCACCAGTACTCAGAATTGACTTGATGGACCATAACAATCAGTTCATAAACAAATACCAAGCTATGTCCACATTACTGATTAGTTCATGTTAATCCGATTTTTGGTTACATGTTAATAAAATGGATGCCACAAGATGATGCAGCAAATGCGAAGAAGAGCAAAATAAATAATGAACAGTTGAAGTGTTAGATGACACAGTGGTCTATCACCAGAAGAGTAGACTTCACTCACATGGATGGGTACATGAGCACTGCATACATTCTTGCCCTGAGGGTGTGGGGACTTTTGTCCATAAGTTGTAACTACCCTCTTCCTCACCTCACCTTTAAAAAGAGTCTATGAGTCCATTAACTTTAAAAGCTAAGTTGACATAACTCTAGCATCATCTGTTTCCAAGAATGCCCCTGTACCCCAACCTCAACTCCTCATTATTAGTATCAGAACATGGGGTACATATTACTATACATTGTAGAGAAGGATTGGGAGGACAACTTCCATCTAAGGCCTTGACATCTTAGGTGGAATAAAGCACACAAGAGACAGATATGACAGAAGATTCTACGTTCAGCAAGTATTGGTGGCCACTATAAGACTGTGATTCCTTCCCAGTTGTCATGCAGATATGTAATATTTACCTCCAATCATTAGTTACTTATCCAGTGGAATTAAAGACCTGCTCACTAATAGCAAGAAAGAGAAGAATGATCACTGGATAAAATCAAGGGATAAAAATTATCTTGTCAAATCTACTGGCGAATAGCCATTGGAATTAATTAGGTTAGGTTAAATCCTGCCAAAAATAATGCAAGCAACAAGACTAGCTATTCCAAGAGTTAGAGCTTTATTCTTCTTAAATTGCCCTAAGGAGGAAGTGTCGGATTTTGCAAATGGCTGTTGCATTACATTGACATGAATAGCTAAGCAGTGGCTGGATCGGTTATTCTTTGCATGGGAAACTACTA